TGTTTTCCTCCTGCATAGCAAACGTCTGGAGCACAGAAAGACACCCGTACTCACAAAGCAGAATTCAACTTCAACACTATTGACATTTTGTACCAGATAATTCCTATTGTGGGGACTTTTCCTATTCATTGTGGAATGTTGAGCAGCACTAAACCCACTGCTCACTAGATGCCAGTAGCACTTTGCCCAGTTACAACAGCTAAAATCATCTTCAAACATTGTCAAAATTGCCTGGGGAGTAAGAGTCACCCTGCTTTGAGAACCACTGCTATAAAGAAATGAGTATGAGAGGAGTAAGGGGAATTTATTTATTGAATACACTATTGTCAAACAATCACGATGTGTGAACGATGTTGCATGTGATCTGAGAAATACAGAATGGTAAGGCAGTTTTTATCCTCATGAAACATGAAATATAGTATGAGAAATGAAAACAAATAACTAGCACATAGAACTGAAAGACATGAGAATGAATGACCTCTCAATATGCATTCAAAGAAAGGAAAACAAAACTTTCATTGGAAAGATCAAGAAGGGTGCTTGGAGAATGTGGTCTTGAAGAAAAAGCAGGATTCCTAAAAACTAAGATGGGAGGTTAAGGTCTTAGATGGAGAAGAAAGAGAACATTAGAAATCACTCTCCAGAAAGAATGTGAACAGCTTTGAACTCTGAAAGTTTTGGACATTACTTAGGTCATGACTAAGGAGTCTTTTATTTGGGGGCATGATATAATGAGATAACGACAGCCTCATGGCTCCCTGTTCTCTTGCTTTAGTATTTAACTTCTCTTCCCCACTTTCACCAGAGATTGTGGAGGAAGAAATGAGGAGTTTGTGATCATTCCAACAAACTGTCCAGAGCGTTTTTGTTGGATGAAAGTGAATCATCATGGAGCTTATTGTTACAAAGTTGTTATTTGTATTTTTATATACGTATAATTTGTTACTATACAAATTAAATAACTTAAGAAATAGTCTGAAAATTTTAACAATTTTAAGAAATGAGCCAAAAAAAAAAAAAACAAAAAAAACAAAAAAAAAACAGGGTTACATTTCTGTGAAGTTTGGGTGAGAAATCAGCATTCAGGTTTTACTGATATGTAAACTGACAACCCAATATAAATAAGAAAAGCAAAGGAAATAACCTAGGTATCTCTGTTTAGGACATTGGTTCTTAAACCTTTGCAAACTTATGTTTCTGTTTCAGTATATAATAGAAATGCTAGAATTTCTTCCCAGAAAAATACCATAGGTGCTTTTTTTTATAAAATTTCATCTAAAACTTTAGGGTTTTTCTGACTTTCTGGAAACACTACATGGCTCTTCTGGGCATCCATCATTGTCAAGTTATAAGACCGAGACAAAACGAGTTACAGAATACAAGATTTAAAGCATTGCTTCAGAGACCAAAGGAGAAGCAGAAGTGCCTAAAATACCCTATGGGGCAGTTTAGGAGCTGAAATCCCTGGGATCTTCATAAATACCTGGCATCATTTTAACTAATATGAAATAGAAAATGAGTTAATTATCATTTTCTATTTAAGTTCTAAAAGTTTAAATTACTTTTACTCAAGGAAAATTGCTGTATGTCTTGAAAACAATATGATAGATAAATACAAATATTTATGAGCTGAAATCAGAAAAACTTTAGGGCTTATTCTAAGCTGATTAAACTTAAACTAGTAGTTTAATCTCTCTGAGCTTTGGTTTTAAGTTGTTTTTTTTTTTTAAATAATAAAGCATTGGACCATGTTATATTGAAGCACTCGATATGTCCTAAAATTTGATAATTTAAATAAATTTATCTAAGTCTAAAAAATTAATATAAATAAAAAACTTCTACAAATAAGAATGCCTGCAATTATTCCCAGAGTAACATATTTTCAGGAAGTGATTCAAAGCTAGATGTGGTTGAATTGCCAAATGGCTGAATTTGCAAAAGTAGGCGATAATTAAGTCGTTATGCTCAATGCTTATTAAATATTAATGAATTCTCCATGACTTTGAATTGGAAGCGTATTTTACATGAGAGGTTCTGACTGGGCTGTCGGAATGATGAATCATCTCTCACTCAGAGGTGGTCTTCCCCAGCTCCAAGGTACTCATAGGCACTACCAGGGAATTTATCTGTGGTTGACTGTGTTGTACTTGGCTTTTAACTATTTTTTAAACAAAGAAATTTTCAATATTGATATCACCGTGCTTTAGCCTGCAGGAGCAAAAGATTTTCTCTACAAAAAAGAGCTTGACATTAGAAAAATAACGCACTCAGCCAAGGCTCCAATCATCTGCATGCACTCACCGTTTGTGTGGCTTTACAGCTGGCTGCATACACACCAGGGCTGAGGATCCTAAATGCATCTGGGGAGCAGAAGCTGGTCAGTGTAGTCCTCTCCACCCACATTTGTTGTTTGTTTTTGTAACACATGTTAGGCACAGAAGAGACAAGCAAGGGTAAAATGGTTTTCTCCTTTCCCATCTGGTTGTCTGCCAGAAATACAAAGCCCAAACAAAGCATCAGATTTCAATGTTCTGACTGTTGAGGAACCCCACTTTCTTGTTCTCTGTTCTTCACCATTCTTCTTAACAAATATTTTTTCACGAAGTAGAAAGCGATGTAATTCAATAAAATACAGAGTTATTTACTTGTATCTTCTTTCCAATTCCTGGTTATTAACACTTTACTTGTGGGATAGTGCCTCTGGTGCTTTATTTCATAGGAATGTATTCTCTTATAAGAGCTATATATTCACAGTATTTTAAACTCCTGAAATTAAAAATACAGATAATCTTTGGTGTATAAATGACCTCCATTGTATGAATTAAATTAAAAGTTCTGCTGTTTGGAGGTCCAAATATATGTGTCATGGAAATAACTTTAAAAATAGTGGATAGGACCCAGGATTAGAAAAAAGAGAGAGAGAAAGAGAGAGAAGGGTAGGGAGAAAAGAAAGAAGGAAGGAAGGAAGGAAGGGAGGGAAGGAGGGAGGGAGGACTAAATAGACATATAAAATATAGTATACATTCTTTTGCATGCAAATGTTTTTGTCCATTCTGTAATGCAAGCTGGAAGTCCCTTAGCAGCTGAGCAACAGGGAGAGACACAGAACTATCTCTTTCAGGTGGGCAAACCATGTGCCTAATAGGGAGATGATAATGGCCCCTGTTCCACAGAAGGATCAGCATGTGGCAACGCTGCCAGAGCTTCCATTTCAAGAGGCTACATGATGCCATAAGCTAAGGATGGTATGATCACCCCACCAGTTCACATTTATTAAGCAACTGTAAATTGGGTGTTTTAATGCCAGAGATTGCCAAAAAATAATTAAACCCTCCTAGATAAAGACTTTTGAGTTAGAAATACATCTGAGGCTTTGGCAATCTATTATTTTCAGTTGATTTAGTGAGCATTATTGGACCTTACTAGCAATTTGTTCTGTTTAAGTTTTTAACTTAAATTTTTTCACATTCATAAAATTAGAGAATGGCAGCATGAATTTATATATTTCCACCCATTTTGGTTCAAAACTCAGTATTTTGAGTCCTTTGTATCAGTTATTCTTTTTTTTCTTTCTTTTTCATTGTCAAAGTATTTCATAGCAAAATTTGTATCTCTAATCATGTAGATTTCAGTTATAGAACTATAAACAAATGTATTTTGTAACACAATGGCAATGCCATCATAATTCCCAATAAAAACAGTTTTTCCTATTGTCTATTAATAATACCCTGTTTATAACAAACTTTCCTTTATTGCTTATAAAATGTCTTTTATGTTAGGTTTGTTCAAGTCAATATCTAAACAAGGTGCACACCTTAAATTTTGTTGTGTATCTTAAATATATTTTCACCTTAAGCAGTTCCTTGTTTTGCTATTTCTTCCCGTGGCATTGACCTATTATCAGATTCATATTGGTGTTATAATTCTCAGTGCCTATTTTTCCCTTAAGCATTATTTAACTTATTTCTTTATTACTCATGTGTCCTCTAACTGGAAGCTAACCCTGAAAGTGAGTCATGTCTTAAAATATCATAACCATGTATTGATTTTGTCATTGGTAGGCTCTAACACATCACTTTAGATTGTGAATTAAAAAAAAGTAAAGTAAACTAAATTGTACAGTGTTATTCATATAACATGTGAAATGTCTTATACATGGGGTGCTGTACTTTTTTCATGACATCTACCTGGTTTCTATCATTCTTAGAATTTATAGACTCAGAACTAGGAGATTCTTACTGAGAAATGTTGTGAGAATTAATCAGAGAGTTAGGGACTAGATATAGAAGTAACTTTAATTCTTAAAATAAAAGATCCTTTTACATATTTGACTTTGAATTGGGCCTCTAAGATGGAATGGTAGATGATGCCTCGAAAGGTAGGAGATGATTTGGGGATTCTATTTGAATAAGCAGGATCACCCTAATGCAATAGATTACTGCTGCAGTATTAAGTTGTTGCTACATGGCTGATTACAGGGTGAGAAAACTCCAGAAAACATAACACAGTGTTTTCACACTTCCAATTATGCTCTGCTTTCATAATCAAAGCCATAGTTGAAAGGCAAAAAGTATAACAACATGATATCTAAGAGAAGTGTGCCTCAGTGATAGTGGTATATAATACAGTAACATTCATAATCCTGAGAGCAATATTATTATGTAGATATATTACTATCTCATTTTAAGAATGAGGAAATTGAGATATAAAAACCTAATAATTTCCCCAAGATCACATAGTAATGAGTGGAAGTTTCTGGAGCTGAACTAAAAGTCTAGCTCTTAACCATGACACCATACTGCCTCTTAGAATAGAGTTTTGAAATTACTGTTGTCTTTATATGAATTCAAGATTTCAGAGGAACTTTTCCTCACTCTCTAATACCAACCCTGAATCTTGCAGTATCTCTTAGTTCATGTGCATTTCTAATGTGAGTATTTATATACTGATACACATTTAATGTTAACTATATATATAAATATTCCTTCTGTTTTAAACAGGTCATCAATCACCTTGGTCCTTTGGAACTGATTCTTAATACTCCTAGCCATCATAGAGTTCATCATGGTAAGGAAGTTCTATTTCTTCTCTCCTTTATTCTTCATTTCTTTAAAAATTACATTATTATTTGCCTTCATTTAATCGCAATTTCCCAGTATAGCCAGCAATATCTTTTCTGTCTTCTTTGGTATAACTTCCAAAGTATGAACTGGTGGGGTGGGGTGGGAGAATTTATCTATCTGACTTTTGGATTTTTCTTTCTACCTAAATCTTAGCTCCATTGTAGTAGAAAATGAGTTAACCAGCTGAGGAGATACACATTTTATGTTTTAAAGGATCCTGTCAAAGGTTACTCCTTGATCCAGTGCTGAAGGTCATTCCTATCTATAGTCAGAGAGTTAGTGGTCTTGAAAACTGTTTTGATTTAAGGAAAGCCCAATAAACAACACTTAACTTTCCTGCCTGAGGCTCTGAACAATCTCAACATAATCTGCCTTTCCCTGATAGGGAGAAAATTCTGTGACTAGTGCCTAAGGTATAAAGATACCAACTTAAGTAATAACAAAAATGTTTACATTGTGGACCCCAAGCCCTATATAGCAATGTGCATATAAGCATTATTTGTGATAGGAAAAATAGAAATAATTCAAATGTTTTTCAGCAGGAGACAAGAAACATTTTATATCGTATATGTAACGGAGAATGATATAACAATGAAAATGCCCAAACCATTGCTACATGCAAAGGCATGAATAAAGCTCACAAACAATACTGGGAGAAGAAAGTCAGTAAAATAATAAATAAATAAATAAATAAATAAATAAATAAATAAATAAATGCTATTTCCTGTTTTTATAAGTTTCCAGTCTTCCCCAGCTACCCTCAATCTCTAAAGCCCTGCCTTCCCAAGAAGGGCAGGTCCCTATGTTTATGGCAGGGAGCTTCCACAGGAGGAGAGAAGACAGGACAGGGTGCGAAAGCGGTTTCCTCTTCCGAACCCAACAGTCATTCTCCCAACTCCAAGGAGGACATAAAGTCCCTGGTTTATGATGGTTTGACTTCCAATTTTTCGACTTTAACAATGATGGGAATATGATCCGTATGCAGCAGTACCCATATAGCTGTTCTATGTTTTACTTTCAATACTGTATTCCATCAACCATGTGAGACAGTCAACACTTTGTTATGAAATAAGCTTTGTATTAGATGATTTTTGCCTAAAACTGCAGGCTGACGTAAGTGTTCTGAGCGTGTTTAAGGTAGGCTAGGCTAAGTTATGATGTTTGGTACATTAGCCACATTTAAAAGCATTTTTGACTCTCAGTGTTTTCCAGTATAGATGGCTCATCAGCATGTAACCCCACCGTAAGTCAAGAAGCATCTCTAATTAGCGAGGGAGTGGAGAGGCCAAGACAGTTATACACTTGCAGTTCCTTCCATGTAAAAGGAAATATAAGGAGCGGAGAAGAACAAGTCCACATTACAAAATGAAACAGTTGCTATTTCTTCTGACTGCATTTTCACACCCACCTTCTTATCGACAGCACTATTGACATTTTTGGACAGATACTTTTTTGTTGTGGTTAATGTTCTGTGCATTGTAAGAAATTTCGCAACCTCACTGGCTCCCACCCATTAGATGTCATTACTATCCCATCCCAGGTGTGACTACCATTCATGTCTCCAGAAATTCCCAAATGTCTCGTAAGGGGCAAAATGCTTCCCTACTTATTCAGAACCGTTATTTAAATCATGTATATATAGCAGTGGTGTCTATGTCTGTTCAGCCAATCTCTCTCTATTTTTTCACTATGGAAGAATTTTCGTTGTATCTGTGCTTTCCAATATGTGGTTGTATGCATGGAACCCATGCAAAGAATGGGAACTTATGAAGATAGTTGAGTTTTCTGGGGTAAGGACTTAGTTAACTAATTATTATTATATTTTTTAGATTTACAGTCATGTGGATGCCATCATGTCTACTTAAGTTTTTTGAAAAATGTATTAAAGAAATAAGGAGCAGCTATTTACTTTGTAATTTGATTATTCTGCAGCAGGAAAAACATATAAGAGTTTTGAAAAACTTACGGGTAATTTAATTTTCACTATGACTTTTATAATCTTAAAAAAACTAGTCAAGTCTCACTGTAAGTAGAAAATTTTCTTCCTGAAACAGATGCAGAGAAAAGGAACAGAGAGACATCACATCATAAATTTAAAATAAAAACATGTTTACATACATTGTTTTCCGTATTTTATTTCTTATTTATAATTCTTGGTATCATTTAATTCTTAATTTTTATTATTGAATAGTCCTGAAAAATTATTTACATTTATTTCATTTTTTATACTGAAAAATTGTGACAAGAAATCATACATACAGTTTTAAGAAAATCCTTGCTTTTTTTTTACTATAATTAATTGAAAAATAAAAATGAAAATTCCTTTACTAGAGAATAAAATCTGATGTTGTAAATTAGAAGACATTCCCAGGAAAATTATTCTCCTGCTTGAATCTTAATTTTACGAATATGTTCTAAAAACAAGATGGAAGTATCTCAAAAATATAGCTTTATTTCTCTGAAAAAAAAAATTTCTAATATTTTGTCTCATAGGCAGAAATCGTTATTGCATAGACAAAAATTATGCCGGTGTTCTTATTATTTGGGATAGAATTTTTGGTAAGTAAAATGTATTAAAATCAAAAAATTAAATCAGCTTCTTTATGTACAGGAAACGAAATCTCATATCCTTAATGTTTATCTTCCAGGGACATTTGAAGCAGAAAATGAAAAAGTTGTGTATGGTTTAACACATCCCATTAATACATTCGAACCAATCAAAGTGCAGGTAACATACTTGTTTTTTAATCTTTCTGCGTTTATATGATTTCATAAATCTTTAAAGAAAAATCAGCTGTTGAAAAGTGGAAGTATATTAGAATAACGTGAAAACAATTTTTAAATATAGAAAATTCAGAAATGACTCTGGTACACAAGCAAAAGTTTGAATTCAATTAGGCAAAATACATTTGAAAACAACTGATTATAAGAATTTTCAAATGTATCTACTGCCTAGAATGAAAGTGTCTTTTAAACATATCCTTTCCCAGAGCAGATCTGAAATATATTCATGTATTCAGTAGGAGCAATAGCAACATGTATAATTAAGGCTGATCCCACAGTAAGAAAAATATTTGCTTTCAGGGTGCATGACTCCACTTAGAAATTCAACATGAGGCCTTTGCATTGCTCTTCTTGGACCCAAGTGTCAGGAACTATTACAGATTGGTTAAATCTGTGCATTACCTCACTTGCTAAGACTTGTCAAACTGGACCAGTTTTCTGTTAGACATGTGGTACTAGTTGTTCATCGGTCTCAATGGTTGGCACTAGAGAAATGAGGAATGTCTATGAAGCTCTGATCTGTCAGAGGCAGACCACCGCAAAGCCACCTGGGGTTAGGCACTCCTAAATGAGAAAAAGATAAGAATCCTTGAAAAACTGAAGAGGTTGGTCAATGACAGCTCTGTACAGGGGACTGCTTACAACATTCTGCAAGTGAGGAAATTACTAGCTCATGTTGGGTCAGCATTTCCAGACTACTTCGAGTTTCACTGAAAGTTGAAATAACACAATTGTTGACATCTATTGAGCTTTTACTATGTGCACTGCTAACAGCGCAGCAGAAAAATATTTAGTGTAGCTATTACTAAAATCTTATGCAGTAGTGACTCTTTTTATTCCCATTTTCTACTGGAGGAAACCGAGGTTCCCAGAATTTAGAAAATTCACCCAAGGTCACAAAGCTTGTTAGCTGTAAACTTAACCAAGGTGGGTTGAAAGCTAAGCCCAAGACTTGCTTAACTCAGTACACTGTGCTGCTGCTTTACATAAAAGGCCATAACAAATTGCCTTCACTTAGTCAGTGAAAGTCATGTTTTTCTTTTCTTTTTCTTTCTCTGTCAGCCAGACTGGAGTGTGGTGGTGCAATCTCAGTTCACTGCAACCTCCGCCTCCTGGGTTCAAGCGATTCTCCTGCCTCAAAATCCCATGTAGCTGGGACTACAGGCACATGCCACCATGCCTGACTAATTTTTTGTATTTTTAGTTGAGACGGGGTTCCACCGTGTTACCTAGGATCGTCTTGATCTCCTGATCTCATGATCCGCCCCCCTTGGCCTCCCAAAGTGCTGGGATTACAGGCAGGAGCCACTGTGCCTGGCCAAAAGGCATCTTTATCTCCTAGTACACCAAAAGAAGAAAGGTGATTTTCTCTCTTCTTTATTCTCAACTACATGGCATTTCTCTCTGAGTCTCTCAGGTAGACTTTTCTAAGAGTATGATATGGCCGGGCGTGGTGGCTCAGGCCTGTAATCCCAGCACTTTGGGAGGCAGAGGCAGGTGGATTACAAGGTCAGGAGTTCAAGACCAGTCTGACCAACATAACAAAACCCTCTTTTTATTAAAAAATAGAAAAAAATTGCCTGCCTGTAGTCCCAGTTACTTGGGAGGCTGAGGGAGGAGAATCCCTTGAACCCAGGAGGTAGAGAATGCCGTGAGCCAGATTGCGCCACTGCACTCCAGCTTGGGCAACAGAATGAGACAAAATAATAATAATAATAAAGGAATATGATACATTTTTCAGGAGAATAGAGGCAAATATTTTGGATCTCTTCTTAATAATAAGCTTTATATAAATACAACCAATTGAGAAATAGTACATTGAAAGCTACCTTTCCTCACTTCATGTAGCAGTTGTCTCCTTATTGCAGCCATTAAAAAAGAGATAGACAACTTCATCTGTATCCTCTAGGGCAGAGCTTGGCAAACTCAATGTGCATGTGAATCAGAGGATCCTAGTAAAATGCAGATTCTGTTCAGTAGGTCTGTCGTCTGGTCCAAGATCCTTTGTTTCTAAGCAAGCCCCTGTGTGAAGCCAGTGCTGCTGGTTGATGGGTGATTTCTTTCAGAGGCAAGTCTTTGGGAGTGTCTTGCTGAGGAAAACAGGATTTATAACTGAGATAGAATGAGAAAGTGAATATTAAATACAATGAGAGCTGCACAAATAGTGGGATGATTTGAATTTTGAGAGGAACAGTGGTCAGAAAATCACAGGTATTTATGAACAGCTGCTGAAGCTCTGTTGGGTTCAATTCTCCAGATCTTTCCTCTCACATTTCCTATAGCATAGTAATTGTCACAAGTGGGTCTAAGATTAGTCTTTTATATGTTCATTTATATTGTCAGAAATGTCAGAAATGTTGTGATAATTAGGAATTCTTGAACTTACAAAAACATTTACTATTTTCACCTCCATTCTTTATATGCAGCTAAATTTCTCACCTATTCTTCAGAGGCATCGAAGCAACTTAGGATGGGTTCCGCCAGACAGAAGGGTTTTGTTTGTTGGTTTTCCTTATTATTAGGCACGCATCATTCACCTTGCCCTCCTTTTGCATCACACATTTTCAGAGCATTGGGAAATAAATAAGTGAAAAACAGTATTTTCTTTTAAAACATGATCATGTATTTCTTATGGCTTGTTTCCAGAATGATAGAAACAAAATTGTAGTCAGTTTCTGAAATTACAAAGCAGGTAAGTATATTAATGTACATTGTAACTTCTAAGCACATTTGTTTTCTGTATCTTGGTTCTTATTATTGCAGAGCCAAGCTAAGTTTGTTTTTTTTTTTTTTTAAGACGGGGTTTCACCATGTTGGTCTGGCTGGTCTTGAACTCCTTACCTCAGGTGATCCGCCCACCTTGGCCTCCAAAGTGCTTGGATTACAGGCATGAGCCACTACGCCTGGCCTCAAGCTAAGGTTCTACCTAACATTTACCTATTCCTCAGATCTATCCCATTAATCCATTTATGCCTGAGGTTGCAATTTTTTGAATTTTTGCAGTCAGACCTTGGCAATTACCTGTAGTAGTAGAATATAAATAACTCCTACAGGCTTAGCGTTCCAGTAATGGAACACTAGGCATAAATTGTTAAGTTCTTAATTGTTTAAATGCTTCAGATTCCTTATTGTGATATTCTAAGCAATTTTAAAGTTTTATTTATAATCTTTAAGGTTCAAATTGTTCAAAACACAGTGAAAATAATAGTAAAATCACAAACTCTGACAAAGCCTAAGCTTGTTTCTCCATTAATTTATTTCTATATTTATCATAGAATTCACCTCTAGAATCTACAGCTGATGCTCAAACTTCAGGAGTCTTTTTAGTCTCCTGGTGCATTATCATCATATATGTATCCTAAATAGCAAATGTTTATTGAACACTTATTACATGTGGGTACACTTTTCAATTCTATACATGTCAAATTCATGATATTTAAAGAATGTGGATTCCTGCTATGAGACTAAAGGGGAACTTTTGCCTGTCAGCAAACTTTTTAAATTACAGAATATGGACCATTTGATACTCAGAAGTCTACTATCACAAACTATTACAGGATTTTTATAAATATATATTGTCTGTAATACAATATAGTAAATTGTGAATTGTGTTTTAAATACAGATATGTAATCTTTATATGTTGCCATGTTCAACTTTTGTATCCATGGAGCAACACTTAGAAAAGTTGTCATTGGCCGAGTGTGGTGGCTCACGCCTATAATCCCAGTACTTTGGGCGGCTGAGGCAGGCAGATCATGAGGTCAGGAGTTCAAAACCAGGCACGTCAACATGGTGAAACCCATCTCCACTAAAAATGCAAAAATTAGCCTGGCATGGTGGCGTGTGCCTATGATCCCAGCTATCCAGGAGGCTGAGACAGGAGAATCACTTGAACCTAGGAAGTGAAAGTTGCAGTGATCCAAGGTTCTGCCACTGCACTCCAGCCTGGGTGACAGATCAAGGCTCTGTCTTGGAAAAAGAAAAAAAAAAAAAGAGAGATAAGGTGTCATTAGGCAGGGATGTTGAGTGCACACGATGCTAATTAATTCCACTGGAAGCAAAGCCTCTTAACTCATTTTTTTTTTCTACGTTGCTGATTGTTCAAACAATTGCCCTGTTTTTATATTTCAAAATTATAATTTTATTGAACTTCAGAAATATTGACAATAACACACTTAATAGTACACAGAGTGTACAGAATAGATTACAGCATGGAATGCAAGTACACATTAATTTCCAATCATGTATAACATATGTTTTAAAATATGTAAATTACCATGAACATTAATAATATACATAATATTTTGTATTTGATCTTTCTACCCTATTTGTTTGAAATAAGCTCTTTTTTTTTTTATTCTTTCTAGTTTCACCACTTATTTTACATATGGACTGCATTCTGGGCCACACCTGGATTCTTCAATAAGTTTTCTGTCATATTTAAAGGACCAGGATGGGGTCCAGGTAAACCAAGACTTGGTCTAAGTGAAGAAATCCCAGAGGTAAATAGAGTTCACAAAGCTGGAGATGGGGAAGATTCGTCTCATATTGTCAGGTCTACAGCCAGCCTGTACATAGGCTCTTTTCATGCAAATCTGTAAAAAGATGTTCCCTCAGTCGGATGCAGTACTGTGGTTCTTAACCTAATGAGTGTCCACCAACTGTGTACCAATTAAAGGAGAGCCTTCTCCCAAGTGAACTCTGCCTCTTACCTGGGAGCACAGATTGTGGAGCAGAGCTACAGAGGCTGGTTTTCAAATCCCTTTAACGCTCGCCTTTGTGTAGGGCATAACTTCACAAGTACATGCAGCTCAGACACAGAGTCCTAGAATGCTAGAGATGGAGGAAAACTTAGGAATGAGTCAGTCTGTCTGACCTTAATTCCACTCATGAAAAACGGAGGCCCCCAAAACAGATGCATCTAAAGTCACATCATTGAGTCAAACTGTAACTATATTCCTTTTATAGTAGAGTAGGAGAATTACATACGGAAACCACATTGAAACCAAAAATTTAAAAATGTAGATCTTTAAAACACAGGAACCCAAATGAAAAATTCAGTTCCAACCCAGAATTACTCTTCTGGAGAAGAAAGAGAAGTTTCTTTTTAATAGAATGTAGGTTCTGATTTCTTAGCAAATAAATGCCGTGAATATTAATGTAGAAACAATTACCGAAGTAAATGATTCTTGATTTCAAGGATGATATGATACTATGCATACAAAAGTTAGCCTGTAGTATTTCAAGGAAATAAAATAAGATGTTTTATTTAAATATTATTATTTTGGGCCAGGTGTGGTAGCTCATGCCTATAATCCCAGCACTTTTGGGGGCCTAGGTGGGCAGATCATGAGGTGGAGAGATTGAGAGCATCCTGGCCAACATGGTGAAACCCTGTCTTTACTAAAAATACAAAAATTAGCTGGGTGTGGTGGCATGTGGCTGTAATCCCAGCTACTCTGGAGACTGAGGCAGGAGAATTGCTTGAACTCAGGGGGTAGAGGTTGCAGTGAGCCAAGAGAGTGCCACTGAACTCCAGCCTGGCAACAGGGCAAGACTAGGTCTCAAACAAACAAACAAACAAACAAACCAAAACACAACGTGGATTTGTGGATTTGGGGTCAAACTGTAATTATATTCATTTTATAGTAGAGTAGAAAAATTAAATACAGGAACCACGTTGAAAATAAAAAATTAAAAATGTTGATCCTTAAAAGACAGGAACCCAAAGGAAAAATTCAGTTCCAACCCAGAACTTGAGTTACTCTTCTGGAGAAGAAAGAAAAGTTTCTTTTTGATCATTTAGAATATAAGTAGTGATTTCTTATCAAATAAATGTCATTAATAGTAATGCAGAAACAACAGGAAAAGTAAACTACTCTTGATTTCAAGGATGATACTATGTGTATAAAAGTTAGCCCTGTGATGTTTCAAGGAAATAAAATAAGATGTTTTATTTAAATATTATTATTTTGAAAAAATCCTAATCTAAATAATGATATTTTCTCACTCAGTTACCAAAGCTTCTGGGAATAAGTTTCCCAGACACTTTTGTTTATGTTCATAATTAGTTGTGCAGCAATTTACCAACTTGATACAGGTAAAATAATTTTTATATTTCAACTAAAAAAAGGTTGTTTGCTATGATCCATTTATTATTTTTCTTTCTGTCAATAAATAACTCAAAGTGAATACAATATTTTAAAGTTATATGAGTGAAGGAGTCTGTGTTAAAAAAAAAATAGATGTAGGCTGGGTGCAGTGGCTCACGCTTGTAATCCTGGCATTTTGGGAGGCTGAGGCGGGCAGATCACAAGGTCAGGAGTTCAAGACCAGACTGGCCAACATGGTGAAACACCACCTCTTCTAAAAAATACAGCTATTAGCTGGGCATGGTATCTCTTGCCTGTAATCCCAGCTACTTGGGAGGCTGAGGTAAAAAGACTTGCTTGAACCAGGACCCAGCAGGCGGAGGTTGCAGAGAGCCCAGATTGCTCCACTGCACTCCAGCCTGGGCTATAGAGCAAGGGTCCATCTCAAAACAAAACAAAACAAAACAAAACAAAACAAAACAAAACAAAACAAAACATAGATGTGTAGCATTTTGGAAAAAGTCAAATGCTAGAGTAGAAATGTAGTTTATTGGAAACAACTTTTCTGAAGTTTGCAATAAACAACTTTAGAAAAGTTTATTCCAATAAAATAGTATTTTTCTTTGAAGCATGATTACCTGCCAAGATCACCTTCTGTTTTTGTTGTTGTTGTTCTTTTGTTAGTTTGTTTTTTGAGACAGAATCTTGCTCTGTCACTCAGGCTGGAGTGCAGTGGCATAATCTTGGCTCACTGCAACCTCGCCTCCCGGGTTCAAGCAATTCTCCTGCCTCAGCCTCCTGAGTAGCTGGGAGGCTACAGGTGCATGCCACCACACCCAGCTAATTTTTGGATTTTTACAAGGTTTCACCATGTTGACTAGGCTAGTCTCAAATGCCGGATCTCAGGTGATCTGCCCACCTAGGCCTCCCAAAATGCTGGGCTTATAGGCATGAGCCACCGTGCCCAGCCCCTACCTTCTGTTTTTTTTTTTTCTTTTACTTTGCTGTCATATATGATCATCAACATGTTATCAAATAGGGAAGATCCAACCCATTCATTTTGGCTGTCTTTATTATTCACACGTATTGCTGAATTAGTTCTTATGCTGCTCGTTAAGGCAGACTACATCATAATTGTAATGCTTTTAAAATGAGAAAAAAGTTTCCTAACTTACAGACAGGTTTCTGTTTTTTAAAATTATGTTAGTTTTTTTTTTTTTTTTAATAGCAGATACTTTTTTCAAATATCTCTCCTAGTGTGAATTTCAGTAAGAGAAATAAGTCTGAAGCAATATAAAGGAAATGGTTCTTTCTTGTCGATGTAGGTCACCGGGAAAGAAGTTCCCTTCTCATCACCCGCGTCTCAGCTGTTAAAGATATATACAGTTGTACAGTTTGCTTTGATGTTAGCATTTTATGAAGAAACCTTTGCAGATGCAGCTGTAAGTAATGTCTGTTTTAAAGAGTGTGAAAACATTATCTGTTACTTTGTTTGAAAATGAAAATAAGCTCCCCAGATTAAGGTTATGATTTGTTTTTCTCTGTAGTTGTCTGCTGTAATTTTGGCAGCATCTCACATTTAAACAGGTAAAACAATTCTTCTAGATGACTAAATGTAAATGAATTAATTCTAACCAAATTGCTTCTATATAGAATGTTCACTAAGTGGTATGCTGTTAATCTGTGTGATAAATAGGAAATAATTTGCCATAAACCAATTTTATAACAATTAAAAATACTTCAGAAGTCAGAACTAAATGTGTGGGAAAGCATGTTTTTCATCCATTTCAACATATTTGCCTTCATTTAGAGAATTGCCTGATATAATTACTTTAAAGAGTTTTCAATGTAGAGGTTAATTCCTTTAGTTTGACCTTTCTAAAGCATTCAGAATATTCCAATTTGTCTGGTGCAAATAGAAGAGCACTAGACAGGAGTTAGTTCAGAGATCACCACTTTGGGAGTCATTTTTTGGCCATCAAGGAATCCTCATACTACCTATATTTCAGAAAGAGCAAAAATAACATAAAGTATAAAAAATATGCTGTAAATTGCAAAAACAAACAAGAAAACAGAATAAAAGAACATATTTTGTTTTGTTTTATAGATTTATTTATGTTATATTCTTTATTAAAAATTAAGAATAGTTCTAAAAGGTACACAAAAGAGGTAAGGTAACTAAATTGTAAGTAGGTAAACTAGAAAATAGTGTAAAAAATTGCTGTTTTTATGCTTTGTTACTGAGAAAATGTGCACCCCATTAAAAACCTCAATGAATCAGCAATGTTGAAAGTTACATGGTAACTCTATGAATAATGGTGATATTGGAAAGCAACAGAGGTGGTTTGTATTTGCAGCAAAGTGGTGGTTAGGATACCCCTATTCTTTTTTTTTTTTTTTGAGATGGAGTCTTGCTCTTGTCACCGAGGCTGGAGTGTAATGGCAAGATCTCGGCTCACTGCAACTTTCCCCTCCCGATCAACTGTTTCTCCTGCCTCAGCCTCCCAAGTAGCTGGTATTGCAGGTGCACGTCACCACGCCTGGCCAGTGTTTGTATTTTTAATAGAAATGGGGTTTCGCCATGTTGGCCAGACTGGTCTTGAATGCCTGACCTCAGGCAATCTGTCTGCCTCAGGCTCCCATAGTGCTGGGATTACAGGCATGAGCTACTGCTCCTGGCTGATACACCTATTCTTTAAGGTGTATAGGGCACTTAAAATTGATGGATAAAATATACAAAAATATAATTGTTAAAATGCACAGAACAGCTGGAAAAAAATCAAAGGACACCTAAGGAGCTAAAACTGTTGACAATATATGAATCCAGTGAGGCAAGTGAACATATATTCTAATAGCTATCCTAGCTGTCATTTCTAAAGTAATTAAAATAAACTTTTAAAATACAAAAATATGATAACAGCATGTAAAACTCAATGACTTTCACAGCAGCTTAAACTAGTACATTAAAAATGGACTAAAATAATCATTCATTACACGGTACTAAAGACAGTAGCTAAACAGATTAAAAATGTGAAAGAGATGTTATCTTCAGACATGAAACTCTGAAAAAGTCTAAAAAGAAAATACAGCAATCCAGGAAAAAACTTAAATGAATAAAGATAGGATTAGTATTCAGTGAATACAGAGAAGAATTAATCATTATTTTCAAGAAACAATATGGGTATTATTGATAGACAACAGTCAATGTAGTCAAAAACTCCATAAGTAAAATAAACAATGTATGCTGAAAAATGAATCTAATCTGAGAATATTGTTAATAATTTTAATATAAGACCTATGGAATTATTTTAAGTAATTAAGCACCAGTATAATAATCTAAGTATGATGATGCCACTGTAACAGTTCTGTATATTCCATATGATTTATATATTGAATTATAAGGAAATAAGTCTTCTTGAAATAGGTCCTGAGCAGGATTTTTAGTTAGGAGTGCTAAGCGGGACTTTTTAAACTGTATGTGGCAGAAATTCAACACAGAGTGGTTTATTAACTAACGTAACTTTAAAGTTTGGGACTGTTACTTCTTCAGACAGTGCTGAACCCAAGATGGAAAATAATGTCATCAGAAATCTTCTTTTTTTCTGGCAGCTATGCTTTTCTCAGTGCAAATTCTCCTGTAAACTATCACCCTTTATAGTGGTAAGATGGCTAGCAGTTTACTCTAACTTAAATACTGCCATACAAAGAACCCCACAAGTAAAAATACTCAAATTGAGCCTGATGCCATGGCTTGGTTTATCTGTACATCACTGAATGAATCCATGTATGTGATCAGGTCTGGAATATATACACAGTCTACAAAAGGGAGGTCAGGGTCAACTACACAGGATCCACATGATCTATGAAAAAAAACAGTGGCTTGAAAAAATATTGAAGTGATAGATTATAGAAAAAGGGAAATAGGCTCAAGTAGGCAAATATAACAAAGTTAGATCTATATAACATAATAGATGTTCTCAATCATTTATAAAATACCTAGTTACATATAAACCTGCCTGTAATTAAGATATTTATGGTATGAGTGTCCATTAGATGTCTTCTTTTCTAAAAAACAGAATTTCCAATTAAATTTATTTGGAATATGGCAAGTGTTTCCAGGATTGATTGCTTCAGCAGTTCAGACATTCAGAGCTTTAAAAGGGCTTCTCTAATACCTTTGGATTTTATCATCATAAAATAATGATGATAATAATAAAATAAAATTAATAAGATGCTCTAGGAGTATTGAATTTGCCGCCTTTGGTCAAAAGCTGTGAGGGCTTTTGACCAAAGGCAGCAAATTCACAACTCCTTGTTAATTTTATATTTCATTTTATTTAAGAGGGAAAAAGCACACACACACAAACAGGCATATTTCTTCCCAGCAAACTTCCTTTCATGTCTCATTTTTCAGGACGTGCCCACACTAACCCAATAACTAACATCAGGTCATGAATTAACTATGAGTGAATTACACCAAGTATAATTTTTACCCTTAGGATAGAGTGGTGCTCACTTCTCCCTGAGCACATTCCTCATTTATAGCTAGACAAAATGAGCACAGCATTAGTACAAAAGACATGGGAGGTATATATTGGTTAGACAACCAATAGTGTATGTAATGTGTCCTGCTAAATAGATTTTCAAAAAGTTGTTACAGAGATTATTGAATAATGCATTGAGAAAAGGCAATTTAATTTTTTTAAACTTTTTTTTTTTAAGTTCTGGGATACACATGCAGTTTTGTTACATAGGTAAACTTGCGTTATGAGGGGTTTGTTGTATGGATTATTTTATCACCTAGTTATTAAGCCTAGTCCCCATTAGTTATTTTTCCTGATCCTCTTTCTCCTCCCATCCTCCACTCTCCAACTGGCCCCGCTGTGTGTTTTTCCCTCTATGTGCCCATGTGTTTTCATCATTTAGCTCCCACTTATAAGAGAGAACATGCAGTATTTGGTTTTCTGTTTCTGTGTTAGTTTGCTAAGGATAATGGCCTCCAGCCCCATCCATGTGCCTGTGAAGGACATGATCCCATTCTTTTTTGTGGCTGCATAGTATTCCATGGTGTATATGTACCGCATTTTCTTCATCCAGTCTGTCATTGATGGGCATTTAGGTTGACTCCATGTCTTTGACATTGTGAACAGTGTTGCAATGAACATATGGGTGCATGTAACTTTATAATGGAATAATTTATATTCACCTGGACATATACCTAGCAATGATATTGCTGGGTGGAATGGTCTTTCTGTCTTTATGTCTTTGAGGAATTCCACACTGTCTTCCACAATGATTGAACTAATTTACACTCCCAGCAACAGTGTATAAGCGTTCCTTTTTCTCCACAAGCTTGCCAGCATCTGTTATTTTTTGACTTTTTCATAATGGCCAGTCCGACTGGTAGGAAATGGTACGTCATTGTGGTTTTGATTTGCATATCTCTAATGATCAGTGATGCTGGGCTTTTTTTTTTTTTTTCATATGATTGTTTGCTGCATGTATGTCTTCTTTTGAAAGGCATCTGTTCATGTTGCCTACCCACTTTTTTATGGGATTCCGTACTATACTTTTGTTGGATTCGTAATTTGCAAATATTTTCTTCCATTCTGTAGGTTGTCTGTTTACTCTGTTGATAGTTTATTTTGCCGTGCAGAAGGGCTTCTGGGCTTTTTTTGATTGGTAGGCTATTACTGCCTCAATGTTACAGTGCACTGTTGGTGTCTTCAGGATTTTAATAGTGTCCTGGTTCAGTCTTAGGAAGGTGTATGTATCCAGGAAATTCTTCTAGACTTACCAGTGTATGTGCATCTAAGTGTTCATAATACTCTCCATTGTTTGTACTTCTGGTTATTGGCAAGATACTCCTTGTTGGTTTTGGTAGTGTTTATTTGAATCTTGTCTTTTCTTTATTAATCTCACTAGCAGTCTATCTGTTTAATTAATATTTTCCCAAAAACAGCTCCTGGATTTGTTGATCTTTCCAATGGTTTTTCATGTCTCAACATCCTTCAGTTCAGCTCTGATTTTGGTTATTTCTTGTCTTGTGATAGCTTTGGGATTTGTTTGATCTTGGTTTCTCTAGTTACTTAGTTGTGATGTTAGGTTGTCAACTTGAGATGTTTCCAACTTTTTGATGTAGGCTTTTAGTGCTCTAAACTTCCCTCTTAACACTGCCTTAGCTGTGTCTCAGAGATTTTGGTATGTTGTGTCTTTCTTCTCATTAGTTTCAAAGAACTTCTTGATTTCTGCCTTAATTTCATCATTTACTGAAAAGTGATTCAGGAGCAGGTTATTCAATTTCCATGTAATTGTATGGTTTTGAATGACCTTCTTAGTCTTAATTTCTAATTTGATTGTGCTGTGGTCTGAGAGACTGTGGGTTATGATTTCAGTTCTTTTGCATTTGTGGAGTAGTGTTTTACTTTCCATTTGTGATTGA